CTCTCACTTTGTCACACCTTACCCTTCCCCCTCCCCATATCCTCAAGTCCATTCTCTAGTAGGTCTAGTAGGACACAGGCTTTATTCCTGTCTTACCCCTAGGTTCTTCATGACAGTTTTTTTTTTTCCTTAAATTCCATATATATGTGTTAGCATACGGTATTTGTCTCTCTCCTTCTGACTTACTTCACTCTGTATGACAGACTCTGGGTCTATCCACCTCATTACAAATAGCTCAATTTCGTTTCTTTTTATGGCTGAGTAATATTCCATTGTATATATGTGCCACATCTTCTTTATCCATTCATCCAATGATGGACACTTAGGTTGTTTCCATCTCCGGGCTATTGTAAATAGAGCTGCAATGAACATTTTGGTACATGACTCTTTTTGAATTATGGTTTTCTCAGGGTATATGCCCAGTAGTGGTTTTGCTGGGTCATATGGTAGTTCTATTTGTAGTTTTTTAAGGAGCCTCCATACTGTTCTCCACAGTGGCTGTATCAATTTATATTCCCACCAACAGTGCAAGAGGGTTCCCTTCTCTCCACACCCTCTCCAGCATTTATTGTTTCTAGATTTTTTTGATGATGGCCATTCTGACTGGTGTGAGATGATATCTCATTGTAGTTTTGATTTGCATTTCTCTAATGATTAGTGATGTTGAGCATTCTTTCATATGTTTGTTGGCAGTCTGTATATCTTCTTTGGAGAAATGTCTATTTAGGTCTTCTGCCCATTTTTGGATTGGGTTGTTTGTTTTTTTGTTATTAAGCTGCATGAGCTGCTTATAAATTTTGGAGATTAATCCTTTGTCAGTTTCTTCATTTGCAAATATTTTCTCCCATTCTGAGGGTTGTCTTTTGGTCTTGTGTATGGTTTCCTTTGCTGTGCAAAAGCTTTGAAGTTTCATTAGGTCCCATTTGTTTATTTTTGTTTTTATTTCCATTTCTCTAGGAGGTGGGTCAAAAAGGATCTTGCTGTGATTTATGTCATAGAGTGTCCTGCCTTTGTTTTCCTCTAAGAGTTTAATAGTTTCTGGCCTTACATTTAGGTCTTTAATCCATTTTGAGCTTATTTTTGTGTATGGTGTTAGGGAGTGATCTAATCTCATACTTTTACATGTACCTGTCCAGTTTTCCCAGCACTACTTGTTGAAGAGGCTGTCCTTTCACCACTGTACATGCCTGCGTCCTTTATCAAAGATAAGGTGACCATATGTGCGTGGGTTTATCTCTGGGCTTTCTATCCTGTTCCATTGATCTATCTTTCTGTTTTTGTGCCAGTACCATACTGTCTTGATTACTGTAGCTTTGTAGTATAGTCTGAAGTCAGGGAGCCTGATTCCTCCAGCTCCGTTTTTTGTTTTCAAGATTGCTTTGGCTTTTCGGAGTCTTAGTTTTGGAAGTTTTAGCCACAGCAATCAGAGAAGAAAAGGAAATAAAGGGAATCCAAATCAGAAGAGAAGAAGTAAAGCTGTCACTGTTTGCAGATGACATGATACTATACATAGAGGATCCTAAAGATGCTACCAGAAAACTACTAGAGCTAATCAATGAATTTGGTAAAGTAGCAGGATACAAAATTAATGCACAGAAATCTCTGGCATTCCTATACACTAATGATGAAAAATCTGAAAGTGAAATCAAGAAAACACTCCCATTTACCATTGCAACAAAAAGAATAAAATATCTAGGAATAGACCTACCTAAGGAGACAAAAGACCTGTATGCAGAAAATTATAAGACACTGATGAAAGAAATTAAATATGATACAAATAGATGGAGAGATATACCATGTTCTTGGATTGGAAGAATCAACATTGTGAAAATGACTCTACTACCCAAAGCAATCTACAGATTCAATGCAATCCCTATCAAACTACCACTGGCATTTTTCACAGAACTAGAATAAAAATTTTCACAATTTGTAATTATACAATTTTGAATGACTTGATTTGTTCATTAAACCCTGCTACCATACAGCATTCCCTGCTTTAGTAACTCAAAAGTGAATTTAGTGCCCAAAACACTAATTCTTGAGTATAGCTAATCTAAACCATGGAGATTATTATAAAATCAGAACTGGGTTGGTTTTGAAATGCGCTGTACAGTTAAGCTTGCTGTACTCTGGTCATTGCTTTCCACTGTGCTCTTTTTCCCATTGACTTTTCCTTGAACTTTGTATGTGTAAGCCAAAGCATAATTCTTAATATGTAGGTAGGCAGAATCATGGTGATTACAGAATTCTCTTTATATTTTACTCACACACGTATACATACATACAAAGACTACCTTTCACTGTGGGATAGTTGAGCCTTCAAATTTTTTTTTTTTTTTTTTTGCGGTACACGGGCCTCTCACTGTTGTGGCCTCTCCCGTTGTGGAGCACAGGCTCCAGACGTGCAGGCTCAGCGGCCATGGCTTACGGGCCTAGCCGCTCCGCGGCATGTGGGATCTTCCCGGACCGGGGCACGAACCTGTGTCCCCTGCATCGGCAGGCGGACTCTCAACCACTGCGCCACCAGGGAAGCCAGAGCCTTCAAATTTTATAAAGTCAGAATTCTGGTTACCCTCTAATATTTTCTCCTTGGTCTGTGGGAACCAAATCCTTTCTGAAACTGTTAGCAGAAGAAATAAATATATAATAGAAAGTAAAGGCCTGGACCCTTCGTTTAACATCTTTCCAGAAGACTGCATTTTACCTCATATTCTAACTGTAGCATGTCAGTTGTTTTCTTTCACCCCTGCCCCCAGCTCTCTTCTTTCTGAGATAAAGTTTGTATGGGATGACACGTAAAAAAAGAACAGTAGACCAGTGATTGTGTTGTAGCCACCATGCTTTAGACGTAGAGTATGCACACATACCTCCTGCCTGTGATTTGGGCTGTTCTGACAGTACCCAAGGTTGTGTTAATTCTTTGAGGATGGTCAGCGGCAGATCTTCCTAAATGTTATTGAATTTGCTCGGCACATTTAAGGAAATTGCATGGATTTGCTGATTTGAGTGGTGTCAGATTTCTTTTTCTTCTCTAATTTGTCAGTGAATTCTCTGTTTTTTGAATGATATATTTTGGGTCAGGTATGAAACCAGGATTCGTGTTTCAAGGCAGAAGTGCAGGAGAGCTGGTTTTGTAATTGTATATTAATTTAAAGCTTAGCTGTTGCTTCACTCTTATGTTCTCATGCAGGAAGGGGCCTAAGGGGAATCTTTTTAGAGATTTCTGGCTTAGCCAGTTGAACTTTATTTTTAACTGTTAAAGAAAAGGAGCCTTGTTTGTTTGGAAATAATGAGCAAATGTGGAAATAATGAACAAATTAATGAATGAACAAATGAATAAATCAGTGAGTCTGACAAGAGTCAGATTTCTGTTATCACATTTTCATGAAGTCATATTTTAAAACTTTGGGAATATACTTTTAGAGTCTGTGTTCTGATTGTGTGAATATCTTTGTAATATTTTACTTTGATTTTCTGGGTGGATATTATAATATTCATTGGGAACAGTTATGATAATTGGAATCTGTGACATTATAATGTTTGGAGAAAGATTTCTTTTAATAACTTTTTGTGCGTTGTATAAAATGAAGATCTTTCATTAAGCATGATCTTTGTGTGATCTAATTTGAACATTAATCTGGTTTGTTGAAAGCAGGCGTCTAATTTGAAACCCCAGAGTTAAAGTCAGAAAAATATTAGACTTCTCAATTATAAGCAGTTTCTAGAGAAACTGCTAGAAGCTCACTCACTTCATTCAGGTCTCTGCTCAAATGTCGCTTCATCCAGGAGGCATCCTCCCTAACCACCCTACTGGTAAACTAGCCTCAGTTTCCAATAACCAGCATTTTCATATTATATTTTTTTTTCACTAGCACTTACCATTATTAGACTGTTGATTGTGCACACCGCTGCATCCTTGCCACCTAGAACAGTGTCTTGCACCGTGAAAGTTACTCGGTACGATTTGTTGAATGAGTAAATTGTTCACCATCTGTCTCCTCACTATAAAATGTAGGCCTCATGAGGGTGCCTGGCATGAGGCTGGCCTTCCAGCATTTGTTTGAAAGAATGAAACGAGTGTGCTACCAATAGTGATCCAATTCATATACACACACACGTATGTATGATCACATCTTGATTATATGTTTAAATTGCACATAGATTTCTCATCCAGAAATAGGTTATTAGAAGGATATGGTGTTCTAAGTAACATCTAGAACCTACGAAATCTGCTCTCTTTTTTGCTAATGTAGATGGGCAGATTTACATATAGGGTCACCTTTTTTTTTTTTCAGTGACTAAATAACACTGGTGTATGTTAATATTGTGCCCATAGAAATCAAAGGGTACTGTCATATGAGTGTCATGTGACTAACTCATTGAATGGATTAGTAGTGGATTCTTTTCTATTTGCTTCATTTTTGTTAAATTGAAAAAATTTGACATATTGTGTAACGCTCATTCTTATTTCTAGTGTAAATGTCTATCAGTTGTGTGCTTTCTATACTGATCTCAGGCCTCAAAATGGAGAATTAAGGGTTTATATTTTTTATGGGAACATTTTATAAACTCTTGTTCACACTTAATTTTTTTTCTATTTCATCTTACATTCTTGTGGTTTCATTTGGGAGCACAGTGACAAACTATGTTGAGTTCTTTTATCATTTCCCAGCATACTAGTTGGTCCCATGTGATGGACACTTTGTGAAGCAGTGTGGCACTTCTGGTATTCAGGGCCTTTGTGGGAGAGAGGATGAAAATATACATCAGAAAAATAGAAGTGGATGTAGCATTAATCTTGGGCATCTTGAAGAGCTGGATTGATTGTAAGGTAATCTGTGCATCTGGAAAATAAAGATTCTTTGTCAAACTACATGGTGAGTGTCCAGTGCTTCTGAATGTGCAGTTTTTTCCTTAGGAAGGAAAAATGACAAAAGAAAAATCTGCACTTTCCCATTTTTCCCTCCAGTGATTTAGCAGAACTTTTCTCTTTTCTTCAGGTAATTAAACCAGAGAGCAATGACAAAGAAACAGAAGGTGCCTATGAATCAGATCTCCCTGAGGAGCTCTGTGGAAGCCATCTCCTGCAACAGTCTCTGAAAGGCTATAATGACAGTCCTGATGTCATTATAGAGGCTCAGTTTGATGACAGCGACTCAGAAGATGGACATGGCAACACGCAGAATGCTCTGGTTGACGGTGTTAAGAAACTCTCAGTTGGTGTTCATGAAGAAGGTGAGTTCCGGACTGATCTCCGACGTTTTATTTTAGTAGATTGTTTTAAGTATTGGAATTCTCTCTGTGCTACAGAATTCATCACACAATACAGTTGGTACCTTTGCAGTTTCTAACCTGTGGCAGCTTCTAGGAAAGGGGGATCTTTGACAGGCTTCCAGCTGCTGTTTGTGAGGAGGGGACAAATGCTGCTGGTGATTTGTGTGGTCAGTGGTTGCTGTTGTCATTTCCTAATGGGTTTTGCATTGTGTTGATAGCTGACCTTGAAATTTCCTGTGATGAGCCCAATCCCACCCTGTGGTTGATATGAACATAATTAAACCAAACTAAAATCCTTCCAAAGAAAGCACTTTGTTTTACCCTGGATTTTGCTTTAATTTTAACTTGGTACATTTCATCCTCAGTGGTGAATAGATCACCTTAAGTTTGATAAGTAGATTATCTTTACAAAGTGTTTTGATTGTAAGCTTTTAAAAAAGCCAGTCTTATTTTCTGTGATCAAAATTTAAGCCATGGGTCCCCTGGATACTGAAAAAAGCAATTGCAAGCACATAGGTGAAGAGCTGTGACCAAGGGCCCTACCTGACTGCAGTCTGGAAAACTTAAGGGAAAGTAGCAATGAAAATTGGAATATTTCAATGTATAGATTTCTAGGAGGTTTTAAGTGCAGGGAATATGTTTTCTAGCCAGATTGATTTTTATGTATGTTATGAAATGGAAAATATTGACCTGGTTAGGCCAACTAGATTATGAGGGTTTTTTTTATCAGGAAGAAGTTTCTGGCACAGTCCCCACGAAAGGCTAGAAGAAATGCCAGAAGATTACTAAAGGAGGATGTTCAGCAGACACCCTGTGATAGGGACTGGTGAGCACAGTTCTCTGACATCCTGAAGAAAGCTGGAGGTGATTTCAGGAAGTGACTGCATAAGGATCACTCTGTGTCTTCACTGCTGATGAGGTAGTGATCTCGGGCAGCGAGCACTTTCTAAAAGCATGTGTCACTTTCTGGTGCCAAGTGCTACTCATTCAGAAGGACTTCCCGACTTTGAAATTCTATCTGAATGAAGAGGCTACTGCTTCCTCACTGCCCCACCTCACTGCTGACCTGAGGGCATCCAGGTTCTTTTGTTTTTGTGGCCTGCTTAGATAACTAGTGGTTCCACTGTTCAGGGCGCAGCCAATGTCATTTGGATGTTATTCCTTGAAAATTCCTTCTTCTGATGTTTCTTCTTTCTTCCTTTAAAAACAGTTTAATAACCAGGACCCTAAATAGCCAAATCCTCATCTGCAGGGTCACCAAGGGAGAGAGATACCTGAAGGACAAAGCCAGGGGAAGGAGTACTTTAAAACTTACTGGGTATTTGGCCCAAAACTACTTTGTGGAAACGTAGCTCAGGTGATGGAACTTGGAAGACCTCAGCAGCCTCTTTTCCTCTAGGTTCCAAGTTGAAGGGATGAGATGCTTCAGTTTCTCATTAGTGATTGGTACCAATACAAGGGCAAGGAAATATTGATGGATGGAAGTGATGGCAGAATTGATGCCCAGGGTGGATATTAATAATTCACTTTATCCTTTGTTTGGGAAATTCTGATGCCAGACGTACTCTTGATTTGTCCTCTATTGTAATTTTCCTCCATCTCTGTTGCAGGTAAGTGTCACTGAGTGCTTTACAAGTCCACCGTATGCAGTTTTTTTCCTTACTGTTTTTATGGTCTTCGTATCCTACTGTTATTTATATTGCTTCCTTACTGGCCCTGACTGAGGGAACAGCCTTAATCCTTCCCTCAGAATCTGGTACCAATTTCTCTTTCCTGCTAGCCTCTAAATAGAGAGTTTTGAAACCACATGGCTGTTTCTCATTTCTTACCCTCTTGATATTTAGGAAAATTGCAATTTGCTTTTTTAAAAATCATGGTGTTTTTAAGGATATTTCAACCAGCTTCTCTTCTCTGGATAATATAAAATCTGGTTACAGTTAGGATGTTAGTTCTTTTTGCACCATTTAAGGGTTTGAAATTTGTTATTGAAACAAACCATAACCTTAAGAACATCATAAACTTTTCCTAAGACTTCTAGAAAGGTTCATTGCTTTGTGTTGTAATTGCAAATGGATTATTAATCCTAGTTCACACCTGTGTGCAAAAGAGTGATTTTTGTTTGAATATCATGTTTTTTTTACCCAAAGCAAACATGACATATTACATGTGTGTACTTAGTATATCCCTTTTTGCCCGGGAAACATTCATATCTTTACCATAACTACCAATTTCTCTGGTAATTGAGCAGGTAGCCCCAGCTGTATGCAGCAAGTGTCTATCATTGCATTCAGAGAAAAGTTTCTCTGGGCATCTCAGACCTACACAATAGTTTCTTCTAGGAAGACAACATGGATCTGGATCATCCTCAGCCCTTGAGAGAATAGGCCAAAGACCTGGGCCCCTTTTGTAGGTCCAGCCCCACAGCCTCCCAAGGCTGAGCTTTTACCACTTCCCAGGCAATGGCATTGTTGTCAGCATAGAAAACTGCCATCTGTGTCAAGACTGGGGACAACCCAAATAAATATTCTTTGGTATCAAGTATTGGAGTAACGATTGCCTGATTAGCAAACTCCAAAGGATAAAAAAACATCATGACTAATTGGTACAGTAGCTCTTTATCATACATCTTTGGGAACTTTAAGAACAGTTTTGGCCTCTGAGTCTTGGTGATGGTGACCTAATCAGGTTGTGATGTACTTTTCCTGTTCTCTACCTTAGTAGGGTCTGTCAGAGGTCTTGTTCAGCTTTCTGGTCTGGAGAGAAGCTTCTGCCAGTACCCTGATGACTGAACATGGGTTTGAATGTAGAGTCGGTGACCCTCTAAGTTCTCAGTTTTGTCTCTGGCCACCTTCAACTCTTTTTTTGAAGGGAGAATCCACATGGAATCCTTGTTCCCTTCCGAGGTTTGAATCGATCTATTACTGCGCCTCCTGGGGCCTGCCCAAGTCAACCTTAGGAGTCAGGAAGAGCCCTTTTTTTCACACTTAAAATTCATCTCCTTCCAGCCACAGGCCTATTCATTGCCTAGGTTTAAGCTCTCTTTCCTTGGATAAAAAGTAACCGTATTTCCCTTTGGCTGAGAAAAGCAGATCCATATGATTATTCTCCTGTGATACTTTGGGGTTACTGAAATGCCAAGAACCCTTACTCCTGACTGTCTAGAAGCCCTTCTTTCTCCGAGCTAATTTTTTTCATTTCCTTTCTGCTAGTGTTTCCAGATTCTGAGATCAAATCTTTCTTATATTTTTGTTTCCTAGCTCTCCACTGTGTATAATGATGATTAATATAATTAGAAGACAGTTATGTTTGCTTCAGAAATTATATTAAAAATTAAATATAAGGCAGTTTCCCATCAACCACAATTTTTGGACAATGTTTTGTGCCAGGGTTTTAAAGTATATTTTTGTTTTTAAAAAAGAGTAAAACCTTGTCCAGACCTATGTTAGAAGGATACAGTGGGAATTTTTGCTTCCCTGTCTTTTATTTATTTATTTATTTTTAGCCGCGTTGGGTCTTCGTTGCTGCACGCGGGCTTTCTCTAGTTGTGGCGAGTGGGGGCTGCTCTTTGTTGCAGTGCGTGGACTTCTTGTTGTGGTGGCTTCTCTCGTTGCCGAGCACAGGCTCTAGGCGCGCAGGCTTCAGTAGTTGTGGCACATGGGCTCAGTAGTCGTGGCTCACGGGCTTAGTTGCTCCGCGGCATTTGGGATCTTCCCGGACCAGGGTTCGAACCCGTGTCCCCTGCATTGGCAGGCGGATTCTTAACCACTGCACCACCAGGGAAGTCCTTCCTTGTCTTTTAGACTGAGTGGGTGATGCATTCATATCATGTGTGATTCAGGTAGAGACAGATGGTCAGGACCTCCAATGTCTAAGACCTGTGCTAGACCAGCCATTCCTCCCTGTGAAGTCCATTATGGTTTATTACAGGATATTGAATATAGTTCCCTGAGCTAATACAACAGGACGTTGTTGTTTATCCATTCTGTATAAAATAGTTTGCATCTGCTAATCCCAACTCCCAATCCTTCCCTCCCCTCCCCTACCTCCCCCCTTGGCAACCACAAGTCTGTTCTTTATGTCTGTGAGTCTGTTTCTGTTTCGTGGAAGTTCGTTTATGTCATATTTTAGATTCCACATATAAATGATGTCCTATGGTATTTGTCTTTCTCTTTCTGATTTACTTTGCTTAGTATGATAATCTCTAGGTCCATCATGTTGCTGCAAATTGCATTATTTCACTCTTTTTTATGTCTGAGTAGTATTCCATCGTGTGTGTATGTGTGTGTGTATACCACATCTTCTTTATCCATTCATCTGTCGATGGACATTTAGGTTGCTTCCATGTCTTGACTATTGTAAATAGTGCTGCTATGAAAATAGAGGTGCATGTATCTTTTTGAATTATAGTTTTGTCTGGATATATGCTCAGGAATGGGATTGCTGGATCATATGGCAACTCTTTTAGTTTTTTAAGGAGCCTCCATACTGTTTTCCATAGCAGCTGTACCAATTTACATTCCCACCAACAGTGTAGGAGGGTTCCCTTTTCTCCACACCCATGAAGCTTCTTTTACCTTCTCATTCCTGCCAACAGTTAGAATTATTCAGCTTTCTAGTTTTTTATACTCTAGAGATTAAGTTCTGTAAATTGCCTTTTCATATTGTTTGCCCATTGTTCCATCATAGTTACTGTTCTATTATTGATTTGCAGGCAGTTCTTATCTATTCTCTATAATAATCCCTTTTCCACTTTAGGCATCACAAATATCTCCTACCATTCTGTCCTTTAGTCATTTGTCTATTAACTTTATGGTGTTTTTCACTGAACAAAAATTCTTAATTTTTCTGTGATAAAATTAATCATATACTTTATGGGTTTTTTTTTAGTTTTTTGCATATTCCTAGGTCACATAGATGTTTTCTCATACAGTCTTTTATTAACTCCACAGTTTTGCCTTTTG